CACTACAAGCACAAGGGTGTAACCCCAAATCCAATCATGTCACCACAAGTGCGTGGTGTAATCCCAAATCCAATCGCTGATGTACCACCACCCACCCCCACAGTCGGGTGGCTATCTGGAAAGAGAGCCCCGTGTATTTGATCCGTTAAGATGAGTCACTGGTGCCCTTTAGCCAGGGAGACACCTGGGAACGCTGTCTCCAGGAGACAGATACACTACCGTGGTCGTCAAGGCCCATCTAAGACAGGAATGCCTGTCACTCAGGCCTGCGGTCTGTGAACTTTCGTTACTGAGGATACTCGCGTGCATATCAAGAGGACTTAGACTGAGGAGGGGCAGAGGGACTATTTTGGAAGGAGTCTGGAGGAGGCCTCCTCCCCAAAGGCCAGGGGGCCAGAGCCGCATGGCGGCATCAGACAGTGAGTGAGGGAGGCAGGCACAGAGGCGAGGTGGAGGAGGAAGGCAAGTCAGGGCATGGGCATGCCAGGATGAGACGGGTGAGAAGAGTGGGATTCTTTGAGGACAGACAGCGTGGAGCCTGAGGTGAAGGGGCCACACAGGTAATGACAGCCAAGCGCTGAGATCTGGGGTCTGCAGGACCTCAGGGCCCGTGTGGGGCAGTCAGCTAATTGACCGGGGGTTACAGAAGTGAAGAAGCCACGGGAGATAGTGGACCATTCCCACACATAAAAACCTGCCATCATGGACACCAGACTCAAGTCCACTCCTGCTGCCTTGCATGCTGAGGAGAGGCAGCATCCTCATGCCAGTGGGAATCATGGCCATAATGTGTATGCTGTGCCCTGCAAGGGTGCTGCCCTGGCCCCTGATGTGCCCCCTCCTCAGTGGTGCCTCACATCTGGTGGCCCAGCTCGCTCCTTCTGCCCACAGGCATCTTGCCGCCTCCATCTGTCTTAGTTAGGGTTTCTATTGCTGTGATAAAAAAAAAACACCATGACCTCAAGTAACTTGGGGAGGAAAGAGTTTTCATTTTGCTTACACTTCAAAGTAACAGACCTCACTGAGAGAGGTCAGAGTGGGAACTCAAATAGGGCAGGAACCTGAAGGCAGGAGTTGATACAAAGGGCATGGGGGAGGGCTGCTTACTGATGGGCTCTTACAGCACACAGGACCACCAACCCAGCGGTGGCACCACTAAGGGTCAGCTGGGCCCTTCCACATCAATAACCAATCAAGAAAAATGCACCACAGTCTTGCCCACAGGCCAGTCTGGCCAGGAAATTTCTCAGTTGAGGGTCCCACTTTCCAAATGACTCCGGCTTTGTGTCAACGTGACGTAAAACTAGCCATCACAATTGATCCCTTGCCAACTTGACATATAAACACATCACTGCTAAGCCATAGCGTTCCTTCCCTGTTCACTCCCAAGATCTCACACTAGTGTCAATATCACAAAATAAAACTTTCTGACTTTTAAAAGTCCCGTAATCCTTAAAAAATGAAACACTTAAAAATCCAGTCTTTCTCTAAAACATCCAAAGTTTCTGTAAAACATCCAAAATTTCTTTTAAAAGTTCAGAGTCTCTCAACTGTAGGCTCCTGTAAAATCAAAAATAAGTTAAATGCCTTCCTTCTTACTTCAAGAGGGAAGACTCTGGGCATAGTCACATTCAAATCTGAGCAAAAACTGAAGTGTGTCAGATTTACGGGACTCATCATCTTCAGCTGTCACAGTGATACCCCACTCCTGGTACCAGTCTCTGTCTTAGTTGGGGTTTCTGTTGCTGTGATAAAACACTGTGACCGGAAGCAACTTGGGGAGGAGAGGGTTCATTTCATGTGTATGTCCGCATAAGAATCCGTCACTGGGGAGGGTCAGGGCAGGAACCTGGAGGCAGTAGCTGATGCCGAGACCCAGGAGGGGAAATAGTTTACTGGCTTGCTCAGTATGCTTTCTTATAGCACACACACTGCCATCCCAGGAATGGCACCAGCAGCAATGAGCCTGGCCCCTCACACATCCATCACCAAACAAGAAAATGGACTACAGGCTTGTCCACATGGTAACCTGGCAGGAAAACTTTCTCAGTTGTGGTTCCTGCTTCCCAAATGGCTCTGGCATGTGTCAAGTTGACATAGGACTAGCTAGCGCACTCTCTCTGTCCTGCCTTCCCAGGTCCCCTTTGCCTGTAACTATCGCCCATAACTTACCTGCTAATTACAAACCGATGGCCCTACCACCTCCCCTTTACCCAAAATTCACCCGCACATTGATGGAAGCCTTTGGGTGGTCCCTCCAAGGATCCCTCAGGTCTGTATGTCAGCCCAGACGTCAAAGTTGTAGAGAGTAAGGGCCATTTCCTTTTAGGATTTTTAACTCCGAAGTTCCACGATGACTTTGGCTTTGGCTTTACAATTTGTGTTGGGCCTTACTTACCCTAATTTCATTTCTAGGTTATTTACCGCCAAGGAGTGTGAAGATGAAGGGCGGGCCGGCTTTGCCGTGGGCCCCTAGCCCCGTGTGCCCCACGACTTCCTCAGCCCCAGATAGGGAAAATGAATGCTGTAATCCACAGCAAAGCTAGTTAGCAGGGCCTTGAAGATGAAATTCACTGAACCAAATCCCTCTCTAAGCCCTTTTCCTCCATTGTCCAGACGGACACCCCCAATCACGCTAAACCACAAGTCAGGGCAAGCTGCCCCTTTCCTGCCTCCCCGCCACTGTCAGAGCTGCAGGCAGGGCACGCTCCATTCAACCATGCTGTGCAGATCGTGCTCAGATGAGCACGCACTTATCTCTGCTATATTTTAAAATACACAGCCATCATCTGTCATTTCATGGTCAGAACTTCCTTCGGAAGCTGCTGGAGTTAATCTGGAAAATCGATGGGAGGACTCAACAGAGCAATTCTGGCTGTCCCTGTGTGACAGCTGCCACCCTGATCCCCTGGGGGAGAGCAGACGCTGACACTTGCTGTTAGCTGGGCTCACAGATGGGAGAGCCTTGAGAACCGCCTCCCACTGCCCCACCCCCATACACACACACACACACACACACACACACACACACACACACAATCAGCAGTAAGGATTTCAGAGATAGAGACCAGGAGGTCTATCTCTACTGTCTTTCAGGTCTGAAAAGAGAGCGGCTGCATGCTTTGAAACCTTTTAATGCTGCTATTCAACCGTTCTAAGAGGGGCTGCTTCTTGATATCCACCAAACAAGCAAAACAGGAAGACGCCAGAGTGTTCATAAACATGTTGCCACAAGAAAGCCCTTCCCTGGGTGGGCAGGGTGGGGGCACTAAGCACGCTGAGCACAGCTCATGATCTTGCACACAAGCACAGCTTGAGGAGACCCACCCAAGCCAGCGACGCAGTATGTTGGATGACCATGTATATCCCACTGTGTGTGTACCCCAATTCAGCACTGAGCATAGACTCACAAGTAAAACGTGTGGGCTACCATATACACAAAGCTCACGGACCCCCCCCATGCAGCCTCACAGCACCCAAATAAGAATCTGAGCGGACAGTAAGCACCAACAGAAGCATCCTGTGACCCAAGGGGTCGCAGAGTGACACTGGTAAAGCAGAGACTTTACATCACTGCTACCAACCGTTTTAGCTTGTAATTTTGTTTTGGCAGAGAGGTCTTTGCTACGCTGCCCAACCGGTCCCTGATCCTAGCCTCAGGCAATGCCCTTTCCTCGGGCCTCCCGAAGAGCTGTGGCTACAAGTGAGAATCACCGTGCCCAGCTGCTCGAACTTGTTTTCTTTTCTTTTTTCTTTTTGAGACGGGGGGGGGGTCCCCACTATGTAATCCTGGCTACTGCGGAGCTCTCTACATACACCAGGCTGTCCTCAGACTCGGAGATCCTGACTCTGCCTCTTGAGTCACGGGATTAAGTGTGTGGGCCGCCGCACGCCGTCTAACTTTGCTTTAAGGAAGTAGAAACAAGGGCTAAAGAAATTGAATAATCCCTCGCCAGAGACCATCCTGCTGGTTAACTGGCCATGCAAAGGAGAAGCTACCCAGGGGGGCTGCAGGAATCCAGCATTATAGGCAGGTGTCAGAAGAGCGGGTCTGGCTATGGGATCACCACCTTCTATGTAAACTTTGACTTCGCAAAGTGGGAGAGTCAGGGCGTGCAGCGCCTCAAACACTCCTTCCCCGGTATCTGTCTCCTGGCCCACGTGGTGCCTCCCGTGTGATTTGGTGTGTATGAGATGTGTGGCCCGCTGTGGCGATTTGATAGAAAATGACCCCCAAATGGAGTGGCGCTATCAGGAGGTGTGGCCTTCCTCCAGCGGACATGGTCTTGTTGGAGGAAGTGTGTCACTGTGGGGATGGGCTTTGAGGTCTCATATGTGCTCAAGCCAGACCTAGTGAGACAGACCACTTCCTGTTGCCTGTGCAAGATGCAGAACTCTCAGCTACCTCTCCCCTGCCGTGTCTGCTTGCACACTGCGGTGTCCCACCGTGACAATGGATTGAGCCTCTGAACTTGAAGCCACGCAATTAAACGTCTTCCTTTTATAAGAGTTGCCATGGTCGTGGTGTCTCTTGACAGCAATAGAAACCCTAACTAAGACACTGACTTTCTCTCCTTCTAGCCGTCCTGTTCACCTAGCCACAAGTATCCCTTCCAAAGCAGTGTCCTGGTTTCACCATCCTTTTCCAGGTAGGTATGGCTATACGGCCGGGTTGGGGGGGCATCTATACACAATTGCCAAATTCAGCAGGCGGTTCCCTCCTCCTGGGGAAGTAACTCACTCCTCAGCACTAGTTCCCACCTGCCATCCCCTCCTGTGGCCCAGTACAACCTACTCTTAGCACCGCCTGGAGAGACTGCAGCTACTGCCTCCCCTTCGGACTCTACTGAACGACAGAAGTGATGAGTCAAGGGCCATCTCCAGGGCAGGTGCCGGTAACAACAGAGACACCAAGGGAGACCTGCAGGATCCTTGTCAGCATCCGGACCTACCAAAAACAAGGCATGGCGGGCGGGAAGTCAGCCAGAGGCGCGATGGTCTTTCTGTGTGACTCCTGTGTGTAGCCGACAACTGTTCTGACTGGCCTCAAGGCGTGGCCAAGGGATGAGGACTAGGAAGGTTTCAACACAAAAACCACAACATAACTGCTGCACTTTCTCCTGATCAAAGGCCGCCGGCAGAGAAAAATGACCTGATCTGGCAGGCTCCCCACCGCCACCCCCTGGCTTAGCAGAGGGCTAAGGCTCCATGGGAACTGTATGTCTTCCAGCCTGAGTCTTCATCCTGTGGATGACTTTGACGTTGGACCATCAAACAGTATAAGGTGACGCTCGAAAGGTGGAGAGACCACCGCACCAATCATGTCCTTCCTTTGGGGGGAGCACACCTGCTGGTTGCCATACGGAAGTCCCTAAAGTGGCTATATGTTCACAGAGATGCCTGTCTGTCACCTATGGTGCAATTGGGGCCAGGGCAGTGTGCTGGGTGTAGGGCCTGTGGTCCCTGCACGTGGGACACTCTACCTGACGTCACAGAGCACAGCACTGAGGACACCGACGTCCTGGTGTAAGAGGGGGAGATCCTGAGCCAGGATGGTGACGCGTGCACACCGTGCACAGCATATGGGGTTGAACACGCGGATGCTGACACATGAGGCACCACATTACACGTACAGGCCACGAGGCTCGCGACATATCACGCGTAGGTCACAATCTGCACATCGTGTGATACCCCGGTTTGAGACACATGAATCGTACAACGTACTATGCACGCACAGAACACGAGACATACGGTATCTAGTATGCAATAAAATATAATGCTCAAGGCACCACAACACACACACACACACACACACACATCCTACACAATATACACAAACACACATACACAATATATATATATCAGTGGTTTCCAGAGAGGGGACATCTATACATGGGGTGTTTGAGTTAATGAGTGACTACCTGTTGGGTAGTTTACATGGTGAGTAACCTATGGTGGTTTCCAGAGTGTCCAGCTGTGTCCCACATCCCCTGTGGGGCATGCTCTAAGCACCCTGTGCATCCTCTACATGGGAAGGTGTGGGCTGCCCAGCACCCATCGGAGAGCGAGAGGACAGACAAGGGTGAAGGATGGGAACTCTGCTCTAGAGAAAGGAAGAGGCAGAGAAAAACAGGGAATGTGGGGCAGGGTGGTCCCTGCAGCTGCAGCTGCCACCACTCAGACAAAATCATGAGAGGGCGGCTTGGCAATGGCTGGGAATAGTCTTGAGTCTTAGCTTGTTTTTAGTAACAGCCTGGTTTTGAGCTTAAAATAAACCTTGTCTGTCAGATAGCGGTTGGCTCCCACCAAGGAGGCTTCATGTTTCCGGCAGCAACACGCGGGGCAGTAAAAACCACACAGGTTCCATCGCCCTGTACCTGGCGGGGGAGCTGGGGCCCTGCTTTGAGCTTTTCCAGCAGGGCAGTCTGCAGCAAGGGGGGTGGAGCCTCTGTGTCGAAAGAAGGGATGCCTGAGCCTTCACACCAGTGCACAGGCATTTGCACACTGCGTGCACACATACATAACCCAGACGAGCACTCATACCTGCACCTGTGTGTCTCTTTGCCTGTGTGCTCAGACATACGTGTGTGTGCAAGCTCACACAGTCACGCACCTTCCTCCCTTTGAAACACTGTCTTCTCGTAAAAGGTGACATCGAGCGCATCACCCTCATTAGCAAGGAGACCCGAGTGTCAGGCTGACCACTGATGACTCCCTGGCACTTAGTGTTTGAGTCCTTTCTCTTGTTAAATTCAGATCAAAATGAAAACACAGTATACTGTGGCCATGAAGAATACTTTCGCTCCAAATGGTCTACTTGGAGGATTTGTCGGGAAGCGGGTAACTTTTTTTGTTTTTCTGGTTTTTTTGTTTTGTTTTGTTTTGTATTTGAGTTCCAACAAGTGAGGAACCGGCAGAGAGCTCTGCTTTGAGGACATCAAGTCCTGCTCTGTGCCTGCTGTCCCTTGTCCCTGAGTGTGGGTGTTCCCTGGAGAGAGCAACCTAGGCCAGATCTTGCTACCCTACCCATGGCTGTCCTCTGCAGATGTGTCTGTGCAGCAGGGAGTCCCTACCTGCACAGGTCAGGATAGAGAGGAGCAGGGAAGGGCTTCGCAGAGATTGCTGTGTTTCCTGGATTCCGGTCATGGTCCTGACGCTGACACTAAGTTCAAAAGCCCAGCAGGGCACTCCTGGCTGGACAGCCCCCCCACACACACACGTGCACGCACACACACACACACACACCCCTGGATTCATTTCCACTCTTCAATGAGGCACTGCCACTCCCCAGTGTCTGGGGGCGGGGAGGGGGGCGGGGAATCCCAGGAAAGGGAATGTAGATCCTCTACTCACTCGTTTCCGGTGAGGATGTATCCCCACTGCTCCTTCTCAGAAGGCTGGACTTCCAGCTGAAGGCCTCGGCTAGGGGGTCCCTGTGCTGCTATCTCGGGGTTCTGCTCCTCCTCCCATGCCTCTGGAGCTCGGCTTTGTAATTGTTCCTCAAGCCTCTGGGCCTGGGGCTCTGAGTCCGGCTTCCTCCCCGACAGGTCTTTGGAGTAAGTCCGGCTCCTCACGTGCTCCACCCCAGCAGTGTCCTCCTCCGAGGACAAGACCTCCTCGGGCTGCTCTGACTTCTTGATCTCTGCACTGGAGGACTTCTCCGGGCGGGGAGCCTCGGGTGATAGAGGTGGCCCTCCGCGGTCTTTCAGGAGGCCCCCCAGCTGGACACTCAGACGGCTGACCTGGCAAAGGAGAGACATCCGTGAGATGCTGCTGTGTGAGAAGGTGCCATCGATACATGCTTCCGGGGAGTAAAGTCACATGGCGGGGTGACAACCAGCCACTCCGAGGGGAAAGGCACAGGAGAGGAGGGCGGTGCCCGTGTGCAGAGCCGTGTCTAGAGGAGAGGTCCGCCAGGGTGTGGGTCATGCCACGGTGCTCCCTCCTACTTCCCCCCACCCTCTCTCACACACCTTCCAGAAGAATCCCTCTGAGAGTGACGGACACCTATTAACTATCACAGATACTCATCATGGTTCTGTTGAGCTCTCCCATGTGATACAAAGATTTTGTAGGATTACTCTCTACGTGTTAGTTCGGTCTTTAAATAAACTCCGGGAGTCAGGGACCATCAGTAACGCCCATCTCACAGACAGGGAAACTGAGGCGGAAGCTAACCTTGGACTGAGCCCATTGTGGGGACATGTGCTTATGTCCAAGGGACATTCTGGTCCTGGTAAGGATGAGGCTTCCTCAGCCTGACAGATCTCTCTCTCTCTCTCTCTCTCTCTCTCTCTCTCTCTCTCTCTCTCTCTCTCTCTCTCTCTCTCTCTCTCTCTCTCTCTCCTTCTTTCTATTTTGTTGTTGTTGTTTGTTTGTTTTTCAAGACAGGGTTTCTCTGTGTTGCTCTGGCTATCCTGGAACTCATTCTGTAGACCAGGCTGGCCTCAAACTCACAGAGATCTGTTGGGGAAGTCCTGTGCATTTGTCAATAAAGCACTGTCTGGCCAATAGGGAATCTAGATAGGAGGGACTAGGAGTCCAGAAGGACTCTGGGTAGGAGAAACACAAGGAGTTCGACATGTAACGCCATGGGGTAGGAAGCCCGGAACTATTCTCCGGTAAGAGAAATGTTTAGATTAACAATTATGGGGAAATTACTTAAGTCAGAGCTAGCCAGTAAGAAACAAGCAAGGCCAACAGCTTCATAGTTAATATAGGCTCCTGTGTGTTTATTTGGGACTGATGCGGCTCTAGAACCAGGCTGGCGGGAAGGCTTCTCTCAAGGAAAAAGCTTCTCTTAACAGAGATCCACCTGCCTCTGCCTCTGGAGTGCTGGGATTAAAGGCATGCGCCACCACCACCGCCTGACTCTGACCTCACTTTCTTAACACTGGGTTCCTTGGACACCCATCGGTGCTATGATCACACCACATGGCTATGAATGGCTTTAATTACATCACATGACTACAGCACCAGTTTGCTCCGTGCAAACCTCATTTCATCATTTCCCCGCCCGTGTTCTGGCCTCTGTTTCGCATACTCAGCCTTACAGAAGCTGGACATCAAATGATCGCAGTTCCAGATTTTGAAATCTGCTCTAGTCCTTGTCACAGGCGCTGTTTCCATAAGGTCAGAGCCTCCAAGGTGTGACCTATGGTGTGTGCAGAAGTGTGTGTCCTTACCATCTCAGTGGAGTGGTTTTAACTGTGAAATTATATTTCTGATGTTACACTAGACAGGATCTGGGGTTCGATTTCTTTTGCAGCTTAGTCCACCAAACACACATTTAAGAAACAGATAACTGTGCTCGGGAGTCATCCCCTCTTGACTAGAATTTATGAGTTTTCCCTTTGCATATGCGAATACAATCGTCTGATGAAGATGGCTACTCCTATTCTGATTTGCAACCACAAAGCATGGCAGTCAGTAACCCAGCAGGGGCTTTTGAAAAAGAGGATGACGAAGTCTCGGAAGGAGTTGCATGTGAGGGAGGGAAAGGTGTCACTGAAGAGAGAGCTCAGAGCTCCTCTGGAAAACAGGTCCCTGAAAACGTGCTCCAGGAAACGGAGCAGAGCAAGTCAAAACTCAATGAGTATAAGGTGAGGCCGTGGGAGAGGCAAGGAGGCTGTGAGCGGGGTCCAACGGCTTCACCAAGCTCAGGTTCAAGGGGACCTCTGGCCAGAATTCTGAGGCCACAACCTTGAGGACTATGGGGACTGTGTGGTATGCGTTCTACTCTCAATATCCAGAAACTGTTTCTTGACCCAGTTCTCCATGGCCACTCGGATGGAAGTCCCACTGTGGCTGTGACTTCAGTTTGTTTCTGTTCCCTGCTGACATCCATCAGACACCCACCCGGAAGCAAGCAAGATGACATAATCAGTGTTATAGAACCGCGTGACATCACTGTGCTCCGGGAAGATTTCCTGCTTCCTTAAGACTTACGTTAGAGACCAAAGGTGCTCAAGCAGGAAGCCCCCAAATCTAATGAAGTTATCGGTATTGCTGACACACGGTATGTAGGTGCTGGCTGGCTAAGCCCTTTCACAGAAGCCATCCTAGACCACCTCAGTGATGGAGTGCCCTGTACCTGTGTGGCTGCATGGGACATCGGACGGGGAAGCTGGGGCATCACCAGGTACACAGGAGCCCATCCAGGGAGTTTCAGGGACTGTGTGCAGGTCTGTGAAATGGGCCTGTGATGTTCTCATGGGGGAGTAGTACTGATAATATTAATTCTCTTCTTTGAATTTGCCGTATTTTTCGTGTCTCTATATGATAGCTAAACATTCATTTATAATCTGAAAACATGACATCCTATACCTAGGTCTATACAATTGTGTGTGCGCTCAGAATTTTCCCTCATTTTGGGGGTTATGAGGCTTTTCCCCTGTATCCTACCAGCAGCTAGGAAACTACATTTCATAAACATAGTGATGATTGATGATTTTGGGTCAGGATGCTGTTGTCTTACCTGGTCGTACACTGGGTCATCCACCTCTGACAGTCTGCTGTCTGTAAAAGACAAAAAGCGTGTTGTCACAAGATGTCCTTGCAAGGTGTCCCAGTGCACGGCAAGATGACCATTCAGAATCCTCATGCAATACGAGGCGGAACAGCATGACCAGGTTTCTACCACAGAGTAACCCCATTAAGTGCGGAACGGAGGAGGGTTTTGCTAAGCAGGCTTAGACGCTGCATCGTTCACGGGTACCTCTCCCAGCTCCACAGACAGACCTACACAGAGACTCTTCAGTGTCTGCCAAAGCGAGAAGGACCCCATACCTCATCATAGTTAACAGTTACAAACACAGACTAGCGTTCCAAACTAATTCATGTGAAAGATGGTATGGGCTATTTCTCTGGCCAGAGGGACGTAGTCCTACTTTGCTCCCTATTGCTGTGAGAAAACAGCATGGCCGAAAGCAACTCGGGGAAGAAGGAGTTTATTTCCTCTTACAGTTTACAGTCCGCCATCGAGGAAGTCAGAAGCACCAGGCAGGAAGTGAATGAAGCAGGGATCACAGAGGGATATTGCCTGGGGTGGGAGACTTGCTAGTCAAAGCTCACTAGGCTTACATTTTATGCCAACACCAAACCTCCTGTCCAGATGTGGTGCTGTGCTCCCCCACATCAATCGTGAATGGAGAAAATACTCCTGAGACTTGTTACAGGCCAATGTGGTAGAGGCGTTTTTTTTTTTTTGTTTTGTTTTGTTTTGTTTTCTCAACCTGGTCCGTTCCCTCTTCCCAGTAAAGATGCCCAAGGCTATGTGACTCGGGTCACATCCTTCAAGACTCCCTAGGCCCTCCCATGTTTGGTTGCCCCTTTGACCCTGGTGAGTGGCCTCTGCTCCAGCCCACAGAGGAAAGGAGTGCATCTGGATTTCAGTGGGATTTTATTTCAGAGCTCAGAGCCTCGGAGGCCTCCCTGCCTTGAGCTCCAGGTAAGACAGGGCATGATGCTGCCTGCTGCTCCCAGTAGCCTCGGAAGTAGATGCAGACAGTTGGATGTACCCTTTTCCTTTTATTGCTCAAATATTTGGCAGCCCACGCTGGTGTGACCCAAACAAAGACAACTTGCCCATCACTCCCGGGCTTTCCTGACTCTGAGTCTCAGCAGGCAGGAATCAGACCTCCACCCTGAGAGCAATCTGCCATTCGGCGTAATTGCTCTGGTAAAGCTCAGTCTGTTAAGAAAGCTTTTAGAGGTAAAAGTTCAAACAGATGAAAAAAAATCTTTAACATAAAGCCCTCTCTCCAGCAGAAAGGATGCATTATAGCCTGGTGAATAGGACTCTCCCCTGCCCATGACTCCCTCCCCTGCCCATGGCTCCCTACCTTCCCCATGGCTCCCTACCCTCCCCCATGGCTCCCTCTCCTCCCCATGGCTCCCTCCCCTGCCCATGGCTCCCTCCCCTCCCCATGGCTCCCTCCCCTCCCCATGGCTCCCTCCTCTTCCTGTGACATCACCTCCTCCCTATGTTGCCTCCCCATGGCCTCATCCCCTCCCCAGGCTCCTCCCTCCTCCTTCCCCCAGCCCCTCCCCGTGGCTTCTTCCCTTTCCTGTGGCCATGGCTGCAAAGGACCCAGGGAGCAGGAGGTCACCTTGAGGCATTGCTTCTGGGGCATCTGCCTGCTCTCTCAGCTGCCCCTCAGCCCCTCGCCCGCGGCTTTCTTGGTTGCCCTCTTCAGGATCTCCGTGCATGGCTCCCGCCACCGAGTCAGCCATCTCCTCCAGCTGCAGGGGGCCCGAGCGGTCCACCTCAGCTTGCTGTTGCAGATCCTTCAGGAGGCTCCTTAGGAGTGTGCCTGGGGGGGCAGACAAAGTCAGAGTGATCTGTCACACAGCTTGACAGGTAGCCTGGTGGACAGACGTGGAGCTCACAGAGAAGGAAGGACTGACGGACTACCCAGGGGAGGAGAGGAGCAGGCCTCATAGTAACCACAGGTTCAGCTGAGGAGGAATCAGAATTTACCCGATACAAAATGAAATCAAGATCACATAAGCAATTTAAACAGGCCTATAACCCCTAGTGCAGTACAAGTGGTCATTAAAAGTCTCCTAACCAGAAAAGGCCCAGGGCCAGAAGGTTTTTAAGGAAGAATGCTACCGGAATTACAAAGAAGAGTTGACCCCCATGCTCCTCAATTTACTCCACAAAATAGAATCAGAAGGAGCATTGCCCAATTCGTTTCATGAGGCCACGTTTACCCTGATGGGCAAACCACATAAGGACCCAGCAATGAAAGGGAATTATAGACCAATGTCTCTTATGAACATAAATGCAAAAATACTCAATAAAACACTCGCACACCAAATCAGAGAACACATCAGAAAGATCACCTGCCATTATTAAGTGGCTTTATACCCCCAGATGCCAGGATTGTTCAACATATGCAAATTCATAAATGTAACCCGCCATATAAACAAACTGAAAGGCAAAATCACCAGCTCATCTCATTAGATGCAGAAAAGACCTTCAACAAAGATTCAACACCCTTCATGATGAAAGTACTGGACAGATTAGGAATACAAGGGACATACCTCAACATAATGAAGGCAGTTCACAACAAGCTCATGGTTAACATCCACTTAAATGGAGAGAAAACTCAAAGCAATTCCGCTAAAACCAGGAACAAGACAAGGCTGTCCACTCTTTCTATACTATTCAATAAAGTACTTGAGACAGAAAGAGATCAGGGGATATAAATAGGAAGTTTATTTTATTTGCAGAAGATATGACAGTATATGTAACTGACCCCAAAAATTTCACCAGGAAAACCCTACCACTGATTAGCAACTTCTGCAAAGTGGCTGAATACAAAATTAACCCACAAACATCAGTGTCCCTCCTATATACAAATGACAAATGGAATGACAAAGAAATTTGGAAACACCACCTTTCAAAATAGCCTCAAATAATATAATAAGACTTCACGGGGGTAACTCTAATCAAACAGGTGAAAGGCTTCTATGATAAAAACTTTTAAAGACACTGGAGAAAGAAATTAAAGACTATATCAGAATACAGGAAGATCTCTCATGCTCATGGGTTGATAGGATTGATATAGGGAAATGGCCATCTTACCAAAAGCAATCTACAGTTTCAATGCAATCCCCATCAAAGTTCCACCACAAGTCAGCTTCGTATGGAAACATTGAAAACTCAGGACAGCTAAAACAATCGCAAATAGTAAATAAACTTCGGGAGGTCTTGTCGCCCTGGATTTCAATACTATGAAGCTATAGCAGTAGAACCAGCAAGGTACTGACTCAAAAGCAAAAACAAAAACAAAACAGAAACACAGATCAATGGAATCAAATTGAAGACCCAGCTATGAATCCAAACATCTATGGACACCTGCTTTGTTTCGTTTTATTTTAATAAAGTCCAAAACATATAAAATGAAAATAAAGTGAAAAAATACAGCCTCTTCAACAAATGGTGCCAGTCAAACTGGATGACTGCATGTAGAGTAATGTAAAGACATTCATACTTCTCACCCTGAACAAAACTCAAGTCCATGTGGATCAAAGATCTCAACATGAACCCAGATACACTGAACCTCATGGAAGAGAAAGAGGGCAACAGCCTTGAACTCATTGGCACGGGAAAAGCCTTTCTGAACAGAACGCCAGTAGCACAGGCACTGAGATCAACAATTAATAAATGCGACCTCAAGAAACTGAGGGGCTTCTGCACAGCAAAGGACACAGTGTCATTCGTACAAAGTGGCAGCCTGCGGGATGAGAAATTATTCTTACCAACTACACATCTGATAGAAGGCTGGTGTCCAAAATATAGAGAGAACGCAAGAAACTGGATACCAATAAAACAAAAAGGACAATTAAAATGGGGTACAGATAAAAACAGAGATTTCTCAGAAGAAAAGAAGGAATTTCAAATGTCGGAGATGAATGACACTTAAATGTTCAACATCCTTAGCCACCGGGGAAATGCCAATCAAACCTACTTTGAGATTTCATATTCTACCTGTCACATTGGCTATGATCCACAAAGCAAGTGGCAGCTCAGGGTGGTGAGTAAGGAGGACACAGGTGAGATGCGGTAGTGGGAATCCAAACTCACACAGCCACTATGGGAATCAGTGCAGTAGTTCTTTAGGAAGATAGGGACCAATCTACCTTAAGATCCAGCTACACCCACCACTCTTGGACATATGCCCCCAAAATACCTCATCCTACCACAGAGACATGTGGTTCAACCATGTTCATTGCTGCTCTCCTCAGAAAGCCAGAAACTGAAAACTTAAATGTCACTCAACAAAAGAATGCCTAAAGGAAACATGGTTAGTCTATACAATGGAATATCACTCAGCCATTGAAAGAATGAAATCATGAAATTTGCTGTTAAATGGATGGAACTAGGGAAAAAATGTCATCCCAAGTGAGGTTATCTCAGAAACAGAAAGGCAAATTCAGTGTGTGTTCACTCATATGTGGGTATGGGCTAAGTCTGTGATCATCAAGATACGATCTATAGAACCAAAGAGGGTATGGATAGAGTGAGGGTCTACTGGGGACAGATAATCTCATTAGGAAAGGGAAATAGAATAGATAGTTATGGATAGGTGGAGGAGGATAGAATGGGAGGGGCAAGATAGAGGAGACAGTGGGAGAGAATATGGGAAGAGACATCTAAAATAGAGGGCCATGTGAGGGATAGTATGGAGACCTAAGACACAAGACAGAAGCTTCCTAAAATGTTTACATAGGTGAAGGCGATCTAAATGAAAGTGCCCAGATAAGGAGGAGACAGATTCCCAGTTCTCTTGTCACCAAAGGAAGCTTCCAGTTCTGGGATTGGGTTCCATCTAATTGAGTTGTTGGCCAAAGGGCCTAGGTTAAAGCCCAATTCTACTGCTCTAAAATAAGTAGCAAAAAAAAAACAAACCAAACAACTCTTAATGATGTTCTGCTGTACTCACACCTCAGTGCCTTGCTCTGCCACCATCGGAGAAGCCTCCTCCCGCATCAGGTGGGCACAAATACGGAGACCTACGAGAGTGGGAGACTTTGGAGCACTCAGCCCTAAACCCTTCCACCTCAGTGCTCAGGGAATCTCAGGGAAGAGGAGGTAGGAAGAGCGGAAGAGATGTAAGAGGCGGAGAGAGAGGAAGACACCAAGAAAGGCAGGCCCTCTAAATCAACGTGATCAAAGCTCGTACGGATTCACAGAGACTGAGGCAGCACACAAAGGGCCTGTGCAGGTCTGCACCAGGTCTTCCGCCTACACGCTATAGCGTCCAGTCCAGTGTTTTCATGGGATTCCTGCGTGTGCAAATGAGTGGGTCTCTCTTGTTCTTGTGCCTTCTTTTATGCTCTTATCCAACTCAAATGTTGGTGAGCAAAGTCCTTCTGAGTATATGTTGTCTTCTTGGTTGATTAAATAAAGCACTGTTGGCCAATAGGGAAGCAAGACAGGTGAGACTAGAAGCTGAGGGGGATTCTGGGAAACTGAGGCACAGTCAGTCACGATGTAGGACACCAGCTGCGTAAGAGGTCTGGACCTTTTCTCCGGTAAGAGAAGACCGTGTGGAAATACTCAGTATTAGCAGTTATGGGTTAATAACTAAGTCAGAGCTAGTGGATAGGAAAACAAGCAAACAGTCAACAGCTTCATAATTAATATAGTGTCTCGTATGTTATTTGGGGGTTGAGACAGCTGCGGGACCCAGGCAGCTGGCGGGAAGACTACACATTGTATATGGTGTCAGGAGTAGGATCATGAATTTCCACGTAGAATGGCAAAAGCTTAAAAGGGATTTTAGAAACAAAAGAACAGAGAGAAGAACAGCTTCTTGGTTGCAGCATTTTTCTCAGGTGGGCTCTGTTTTGCTAGAGACAAGCAGACTCACATGGCTTCCTTAAGGGAGTCTTCCTGACTCGGTATAAGAGGCAAAAAAATAACTGCAAGGCTCTTTTAAGGGGCCCTGCCAACAATTGAATGGTGTGCACAAGCAGCTGGCAGTGGCAGTGACCACATCTCCAAGCCAAGGCATAGACTAAGGGGTTGAGCACAGCTCCCAATGCTGGCAGCAAACTTGCGCCCACTGTGTTATGTTGGGAAGCCAGCGGCTGTTTCCACTTTAATTTTAGCAGGGTTGTTTAAGAGATAACAGACATGTGCCCAGAAAAACATAAAGATTTACAGTAAAGTTAGATTCATATGAAGTAAAACCTCTAAAAGGTTTATAGTGTGTTTAAAAATATACATAGGCTTTGGAGAGAAAAAGAAACAGGATAGTGGGAAAAAAACATAAACAGAGTAGCTGTGTGTGGTGGCACATGTCTTTAATCCCAGCATTCGGAGGCAAACAGATCTCTGTGATTTCAAGCCCAGCCTGTGTACAGAGGGAGTTCAATGGCAGCCAAAGTACACAGAGAAACCCTGTCTCTCAAAAAAAAAGTAAAATTAAGAGATATAGAGTAATAAAAAAAGCCACATAAAGATGGAAAATACACAGAGATTCTGGATACTGTATGCTATTGTGTTTTTCAGTTGTTCAATTGCTAAGGAAGGAACAACACCTGCCAAAATAACTTGATTATAAATGTTGCCAGATTAATCCAACTTATATATTTTGATAATGCCTTGGCTTCAAAATTTAAGTATATGGATGTGTTACTTAGGAAAAGAGATTTTATTTGTGTTTCCACAGAAAATGAAAGGCTATGGATTCCTTCCAGGTTTCTATGGTTTGATGAAGCAAGACCCCCCCTGAAGCAGTGTCCCAGGCAGTCCAACATCCGAAAAATCTGGGACAATGCAGACTACAAAAACAAG